TCATTATCTTTCATTAGTTATTCGAAAAATTATTTTAGGTTAACTAAGCCCTTATTATCTATTGTTATTTTAAAATATTATTTTGGTTATTTTGTCACAGTACACGGTATCGAATAGAAGTCAAGAAGGAGGCAGAGTNAAGTCAAGAAGGAGGTAGAGTTTCTTTTATCTTTTACTATCATTAATGCATTTCATGCATATTTGGGGGTTACATATCAAATTTATTTTTAATTATATAATATAAAATTATATCGTTATAATCATGGGGTCAAACTTGGGTTTTATAAATAAATAGTTATCATGCACATATTATATTTTTATCGAGACCCTAATTATCTCATGAAACCATGTTGCATAATAAATGTTTATTTCTTTATTAATATTTAATGTTTGATTTGATGTGGGGTCTGACTACGATATGACTTTATTTTGTGATTTTGATGAAATTACTATGAATGCACATAATCGAGGGCAGAGAGTTAGTAGATGCGTGATCCTTGCGAGGATTCATAGGATTCCTACTAGTCCTTGGGTTCATTGGTTAATAATATCGGTTGTCATGGTAGTCTGTGTGGCACCACATAATTTTCGGTATTGGTGTTTCCAAAAAATCAAGAAGGGCATTGGGTTCCCTAGGGTGCAAGACTCCAAAGTTTTCTCCGGAGGCGGTTCATGTGTGGACCAGAAAATTGATGGATTGATATGATCGATATATGCTGAAATTTATTTATTTATTTGATTCATTACTTTGCCCTATTCCTGCATTTATTCACGGTTTAATTATATTATGCATTGTTTTAAAACCTTGGTAGTCATTGATAAATGTTATCCTACTGAACTAGTGAGGTCATCCCTATTTAATATTTTTCAGATATATGAAGTCAAGCTAGATGATAGGCTGAAAGGATAAAGTCTGCTATTTTTATTTCTCTTTATGTTGTATCAAGAATATTTGAAATGATCTTGTGAGGATTATGTACTCGTAAGTAAAATAAAATAATATAAGGAAGANTGCTATTATTATTTCTCTTTATGTTGTATCAAGAATATTTGAAATGATCTTGTGAGGATTATGTACTCGTAAGTAAAATAAAATAATATAAGGAAGATTATTGTAAGTTCGGTGTAATTTTATTCTTTAATCACGTCCGGGTTTTTTTTAAAAGGAGAAAAAAAGAAAACATGGTATGAGACATGTATTGGTTTTACAATCCAAGTGATGGTGTTTTATAAGTGGTAAGGAGTTTACAATCCAAAATTATGGTATTTATCCAAATTTTTATATTGCATTCTCAATCAAACAAAAAGGTAGAAATTAAATGTACTTCATTTTAAGAAAATTGAGTAGCAAATTTCTATTAAAAATACTTATAATTGGTTTTTAAGCAAATTAATAGGTTAATATGATAAATAAAACCAAAAAATTTGTCAAAAAAGTAAGCGAATATTTACTATTAGATTACAATGTTACAATTTTAATTTACTAGTTGGTGCACACGTGAGTTGCTTATGAATTATTTTAAATTATAATTTTAATTTATGTGATTAATGCTTCTCAACAGTGTTATCAGAACTGAACCAGCCAATTGGGCAGGTGAATTGGGCCCTCAATTCNTTTAATTTTATGTGATTAATGCTTCTCAACAGTGCTATCAGAACTGAACCAGCAAGTTGGGCAGGTGAATTGGGCCCTAAATCCGTCCAATTTTGACTTATTTGTAGGATGATGTGTTTTTAGGGTTGATAATGATTATCATATTTGGAATGATGTGTTTTTATTTAGGCGATGATAATTTAATCATGAGGGGTTATGGTATGATAAATTGTAAACATGTTTCATATTTTTTTTTTGGTTAAATTATTCTAAAGTTTTTATTTTTTTAATTATACGATCGGTCTAACCATTTGACGCACCGATTGAACCAACTAACTATTGACTCAGTCCTTCTAGTGGTTTGATATTTAATCCAGTTATGATAACTATACTTCTTAATAGCCAAGGACAACAAATGGTTTCCCCAACTAATTACGGAAGAAACATGTGGATGGAAAATCAAAAATTGGATAGTTAATATAGCATGAATTCAAGCTGCAGTAATCACATGTGTGGTTACAAGGAGATATTCACCGAATTGGATGAGTTTGTTTGGTCATATATTAAATTTGGGAATGCTTCAACTTTCTGAATAAAGGAAAATGTAAGATTTATATCAAGTTGAAAGATGGGTCCTTCAATGTTATTTCAGATGTTTATTATGTTCCAGGTCTAAGTCACAATTTATTGAGTATGAGACAGTTATCAAAAAATGGGTACGATATAAGGATTTTTAATGGTGTTCGCATATATAGTGTTTTTGAGGAGGAAGGTTATGTTGAACAGCCTATTGATTATGGAAATAAAAAGAAGGAAAACAAAGTCTACAGGTTGAAAAGGGTTTTGTATGGGGCATTAAACAATCTCCTAGAGCTTGGTACACCCAAATTGAGTCTTATTTTGTGGAGAATGGTTTATAGAGATGTTTCTATGAACACACTTTGTATGTCCCAGTGAAATATTATTATTGTGTGTTTATATGTGAATGATCTTATTTTCACAATAAATAACCTGAAGTAAATGGAGAAATTCAAGTTGTTACTCTTTCTACCATTGAAAAGAGTATAATGCAACCACCAGTTGTGCTACTCAGGCAATGTGGTTACATCGTATGTATGGATTTTTGCAACATGCACAAAAAATTCCTTCAAAAATTTTATGTGATAATAAGTCAACTATCGCATTGGCAAAGAATCCAATTTTTCAGGTGAGTACAAAACATATTAGTNTGCTACTCAGGCAATGTGTTTACATCGTATGTATGGATTTTTTCAACATGCACAAAAAATTCCTTCAAAAATTTTATGTGATAAGAAGTCAACTATCGTATTGGCAAAGAATCCAATTTTTCAAGTGAGTACAAAACATATTAATGTCAAGTATCATTATATTCGTGAGTTGGTTATTGATGCTGAGATTGAGATTTTATATTGTTGATCTGAGGATCGAATTATAAATATTTTTACCAAGCCACTCAAATAAGATACATTCGTGAATTTTATTTTTTTCTATTATTTTGCTATTATAATTTTATTATTATTAGTTGTTAATTTATCACAGTCTTAATAGGAAATTGATTAATTAGAATGAGTTGTCTTGTTGAAGAAGACTACTTGGGTTCCTTAAATCTGGGAGTAGGGTTTATATATATAAACTAGAATAGGTTTGCTTTGTACTCTGAAGAATTGATTGAATAGAATTTTCTCTTTGGCTTTGCCGTAAGTTTTTGGTCGTCTTCTTACTTCTTCTTCACTTGTTCTCTTTATTTTCTTTTTGGTCTTTGATTAATTAATGTGTGTTAGATTATTTTGAGTGCTTGATATTTTTGAGATCCTACATTAACTGCCCAATAAATATGTTTAATACAATTTGAATCTCTGACTTTTTGTTCAATGCAAAACACATGATTAACATGTATATCAATACAACTTTGAACGTGTAATCTCAACCTTAATATAGCATGAGACTACCCCAATAAATTCCAGCATCTGTGTACCCTGGTAACTTTGCCGTAAGTTTTTGGTCGTCTTCTTACTTGTTCTCTTTATTTTCTTTTTGGTCTTTGATTAATTAATGTGTGTTAGATTATTTTGAGTGCTTGGTATTTTTGAGATCCTACTTGCAATGATGTTTTTATTTATAGTATTACATGTTCACTTGTTTTTGTTCAATCGTGCGGCTTTTGTAAAAATTTTGGGTTCACATTTACTTACCGAGAAAGAGAGATAAACAAAGAATGGAGAAAAAGTTTTGATTAATGTACGTGCACGATCTTGCACAATATAAACACAAGAACAGATCTCTTCCGTGGTGAACACGAGTCCGTCAATCGAGTGGTTAATCTTGCTACTTGGAACAGGTTGTAAGGGCCGGAGGTGGCCTGAGAAATGGTAATGAATAGTTCCTGTGGGTCACCAGATTGGTCCTGTGAGGCTAAGAGAGGTTCCTGGAATAGAGAAAGACAGGTTAGAAGGGCGCCAGAGTGTTTTTCGGCGTATCCCCTCCAACGATCAATTCAGTTCCTTGAGAGAGGAGAAGAAAAAAACATTGTATGATACTTGAGAAATGGTTTTTTGTGTACCTCATTAATGTGTTTGTGATGATTATTTATACCTTACAAAACTTATTATTGATGGCAGCGTAGCTAGTAGGTAGTCATTCGAGGTGGACAGTGTGCACACTAATTTCTATGAGAAATGTCCTCATTCATAATTGTTCGGGACCCCGAACAACTAATACTTTCTCCTCGGCCTACCGAGCGTTTAATGACCTTTTCTTGACAGGGAGGTATTAAATGCCCAGGCATAGGAACATTCATTACCTTTCGCTTTTATACTCTTATGCATTAAATGTTGTCTAATCAAGGGAAGGATGCATTAAATGCTTGTTCACCCAAGTCGTGTGTCAGCGAGGGCATTCTGGTATTTTTGTCCCTGATCTGACACAATATGTCACGTGTCCATCCCCTTTTAGTTGAGCCTTCTGTTTTCTTATGCCTCCTAACACCATTTGAGTAAGACAAGGTCATGATGGCTAGTCTAGCCTAGCCTAGGCTAGTGATTTGTCCATCAATAACCCCTGTAGGAACAGAAACGCTCATGTGGACAGACACACCTCGGTGCCGAGAGACTAGAATGATTAGGACCGATATACCCAAACTGCCGAGAAATACGTGTCGGTCCATGGCGTGTTGGGGATCCTTGGTCCCTGTGAATAGTATTCTCAGGGCAGGGGGTTGTAAACCGACGAAGATAGGTCGGGATCACAGTGGAGAGTCTCCATTGACGTCGAGTACACATGTCGTCATCTGAGAGTGTCAGAAAATGTCCCATCAATTAACAAATACTTTCTTCAATTTTTGTCATTTTATTTTTGTATTTCCCATTGGTAATGTTTCTTTCTGCGTATGTTAAGGTTGATGATGTCCAACCAAGGATTGAAATCTCTGTTCCCCATGGAGGATATTTCAGTAATGGAGATCTGGGAGTTGTTGCCGCATCTGAATAAGTTAAGAGTGAGTAGTCAGGAATGAAATGTGCCATGCTCTTCCACCTATCAAGATCATTGTGATTATCCTCCCTATTCGTTACATTTTAGCCAAAATTTTATCTTTTACTTAAAGATATGGAGTATTGACGAATTAATGTGTCTGATCTGGACCTTGTTCTTGCATTGGCACTTTCAATGACAGGTTAATTTGAAACAGACAATGGAGGCTGCACTTCTCTTTAAGCCTCATGTTGTTGTGACAGTGGATTCCAAGGGTTTTTCATTCCGATTCCTAAAGCAGTTAAGGGGTAGGGGTAATACATCACTTACTTCTTCTGAGATTCTATGCTTGCTCTGCACTTGTCCTAAAAATAGAATGGCTTAAGAAAATGGGGGATTGCTTTTTGCAGCTAGATATGATCAGCAAGCATTGGTTAGCCTTCCTCCACACTTCCATTATGTTNGATTCCTAAAGCAGTTAAGGGGTAATACATCACTTACTTCTTCTGAGATTCTATGCTTGCTCTGCACTTGTCCTAAAAATAGTATGGCCAAAGAAAATGGGGGATTCCTTTTTGCAGCTAGATATGATCAGCAAGCATTGGTTTGCCTTCCTCCACACTTCCATTATTCTGCACCATCATTCTGGGCCTGGAAAGGGGGTGAAAAAAGACTCAAAGCGCTATCTGAGTTCATAGACCACGTGTTCTGTATCCTTCCATTTGAGGAGGAAGTTTGCAAAGTGCATGGACTAGCTGCAACCTTTGTGGGTCACCCCATGCTGGAAGACGTTTGGGAGTTACAGTCCGTACAGTCGGTACAGACATAGGTTCTAAACTTGTTNGAAAGGGGGTGAAAAAAGACTCAAAGCGCTATCTGAGTTCATAGACCACGTGTTCTGTATCCTTCCATTTGAGGAGGAAGTTTGCAAAGTGCATGGACTAGCTGCAACCTTTGTGGGTCACCCCATGCTGGAAGACGTTTGGGAGTTATAGTCGGTACAGATATAGGTTCTAAACTTGTTTTTTTTTTCCCCAACCTCACTATGCTGTCCTATTAGATTTCTAGTTTATATTGGAGTTGGTGCTTTCAAATTGACGCTGCCTCTAATTGTTGAAATCTCACCTCCTTGAGGGATTTCGCGATCAGGAAATGGACGCTACAGAAAATGGATGGATAGTTAAAGGAAATGGTGGGAAATTTCGAAGTAAACATGGGATATCTTCAGGTAATGCGACTTAACATAGTTCAATACTTCAATATATGAAGATTGGCAACTTTATTTCTCCCTCCTGCTTCACCATGTACTTGGAATCTGACCTTTTTTGACTGGATGTGGTATTTTACTCCAAATAACAATTTTCACACTTTTTTCTTCAAGAATCCACAATCATTACATTGCTTCCTGGAAGCAGATTACAGGAGGTAGTGCGAATGATTCCCATTTTCTCAGACACTATGGAACTATTGAAAGACTCATTTTCAGAGTTGACAACGGTAGTTCATGTGGCACCTAATCGGCATGTGGAAGAATATGTCAGCAAAGCTGTTCGTGAGTGGCCCGTATCTGTAGTATTGATTCCTGGAGGATCTCCACAGCTAAAGTATGATGCATATAGTGTAAGGCCCCATTCTCATTTTTTCATGGCTAATGTCACACTATTGGGGGCACTTTGTGACAAATTTGGCTGAACACTCTCAGTGCGTTTACCCCTGCTTATGTTTGGATCACATTTCCA